CGTTTGAACCTAGGACCGTCCCGCCTGCTGGACTTGTTTTGGGGGCCAAGGAGAGAAAACCTCACCGTCTAAACGTCTTCCCTTTGTCGCCTGTCTTCGATATGGGTGGCAAACGGAATTATTCCAAGGCACCCTTCTCATAAAGTCAGCGACAACCTGCAAACATTGTGGGTGATGCTGGTGTTTGTTGTTAGCCCGTACGGTACTTCGTCGTGGCGACACCATCTCGCCCTTCCCCTCCTCCTGCCTCTCTTCTCGACCTTCGACCTATCCCTGCCGGTGTCGGTCGTCGCCGTCGCGTCGTCCTCCTCCTCTCTATCGCCGGTGTCCGTCCTGTCGCCTCTTCCTGGTTCGGTCGTGGTCGTGCGGCCGGCCGGTGCGGGCCGAGCAGCAGGCCGAGCAGCCCGTCCGTCCCGCCCGTCCCCCCGCCGGGCCGTGGCCCGCCCAGCCAGCGGAGCCGAGCCCGAGCCAAGCCGCGGCCCGCCCGGCCCCGGCCAGTCAGAGTCAGTTCAGTTCACGGAGCCACGCCGTCGCGAGCACAGCGCCGAGACGAAACCTGCCGCGAGTCACACGCCCCGCAGCGCGCCAACGCGAGAGCCGACTCTCCCCCGAGCCCGCCAGCCCGTCCACCCACCTGACCACCACGGTAGGTGACCCCTCGACCCGCGACCCCTTCCGCGGTGCCACCCCACGGCAGCCACGGGGGGCGGACTTCCCCGACGGGCTGCGTCCGAACGCCCTGTCCAGCAGGTGGCGGAAAGTCGCCCGCGATTCTTCAGACGCACGACCCGGCTGTCGTCGGCGATTATCGTCACCAAGAGCACGCCACGTCGCAGTGTGTCGCCCGTCCGGCACGGTGCGTGCGGCACGAACGTTCGTGGCAAGGGCGCGGCAGGGAAGTCCCTCCCCGTCCAAGTGTGGGGCGTGCGCGCGGGAGGCGTCCACCTGTTGACAGCCCCGCTGCCAACGCTGTCGACGTTGACATGAGCGGGCGAGGGCAAAACTGAGATGAGTTATTGTTGTTATTATTACTATCACCGGTCGCGGTGGCGGAGCTGTCTCGGCTGACGCCCGCCCCGCCCCGCCCCGCCGCCACACCGGCTGGCTCAGCCTCAGCGTATTTGCGGCCGCCCCGCCCCCCGCACCCCGCCGCTCCACCAGGGGTATTTGTGGAATTGAGGTTGTGAATCCAATCCGCGAACGCACGGAGTCGACGACGGGAGCACGGAGTCGGGGACGGCAGCACGGAGCCGAGGAAGCGATCACGGGGCCGAGGATGCGAGCTGGGTGCCGAACACGAGCACGGAGCAGAGCTGCTAAATTTACGGGCCGTGTGTGTGTGTCAGTGTCACCTTGACACCTCGTGCATGCCTTTGGCATCCCCCGCCCCCTCCCGCCCCGCCTCTGTACTCTCCCTTTCGCCCAGCAGGACCTCTGAGACTTCAGTCAGCTGACAACAGCAGCACCCTGCGTTTCGCACACAAGATTGACGCTGGGCCCGGCTTACAGACAGGCTTGTGTTCCACCCCGTGTGTCAGTTGCTGGGTTGTCCGAAGGCGGGTGGCCTTTGCGCGTTCATCTCTTATTGTAGCTCGCGCAGAGTGGATGTACGAGGTGAGATTCGACGCA